GGGTGTTGTGGGTCCGGGCGGCGGCAAACCCCCCGGAGCTGCCGCTCCTTGGTGGTCAGATGACACTGGAGCTCTGTTACCATTAGGGGGGTGATGGAAAAAAAAAATATATATATATACATACATATACATGTATGTATCTAAAGAAGAATTTGCCACCGCTCTTGTGCCTTCCCTCTGCTCTCGGCGTGGATCTATGGCATTGAACTTTGCAGTTCTGCTGTTCCTGAGATGAGCTGGGAGAGTCTAGGATACATAAGTGTATATATAGGGGCGTGCGTACATGTGTGTCCTGGAAACTCGTTTCCAAAAAAGAGGGAAAAAAAAAAAAAAGAACGGGGTGAGGATTTGGGGGGAAAAAAGAGGAGAAAAATCAAAGCAAGGAAAACGTCCTGGCCATGTCCCTAGTAGACGGCGCCGGAGCTGGCCGGGGGTCCCGGCGAGGTGTGATGCATGGAGGGGCCGGGCGGCTGCGGGGGCAGGTGTGGGGCGCCGAGGCTCTGCGGATGGTACCAGGGGTTGTGCTCGTCCAGGAATCCCGGCGAGGAGCTGTAGGGAAGCGGCTGCGGGAGCGGCGCCCGGCCCGCGGCGCTGCCGTGCGAGTTACTGTCCCAGACGGCCGGCGACGGGGGGGAGTTGCAGGCCATGGAGTCGCTGTTGTTGGGGCTGTGCTCCAGCGGCACCTCGCCGTTCTTGTAGAGCTTCTTGAACTTGGAGCGGCGGTTCTGGAACCAGATCTTCACCTGGGCGCCGAGGGAGGGAGCGAGGAGCGTGAGTGAGGGGCGATTCCCTGCCCAGTGCAAGGAATTCCCTCCCTTCCCCGCGGGAAAACGGTGGGGAGGGGGGCATGGGAAAATGGGGGGCATGGGAAAGTTGAGGGATTTGGGAGGTTGCGGGAAAATTGGGGGATTTGGGATATTGAGGGAAAATGGGCGATTTGGGACATTGTGGGAAAAGAGAGGGGTTTGGGACATTGTCAGAAAACAGGGGGATTTGGGACATCATCGGAAAACAGGGGGATTTGGAACATCACGGGAAAATACAGCGATTTGGAACGTCTCGGGAAAACTTGAGGATTCGGGATGTTAAGTGAAAACAAGGGGAGCTGGGTTGTCGCAGGAAAACGGAGCACATGGAGCATCATGGCAGAGCCCGGCACTTGGGAAACCGGGCACAAACGGGAGGTGTCCTGGGGACCCCCGGCTCAGGGAGCCCGGATGCCCCGCGGGGACGCAGGGGCCACGGGGAATGTCGGGGCCGCGTCGTCACGCGGGACGCGCCGGCTGCGGCGCCGGCGCCGGGTGAGGCTGCGACGCGGCGCCCTTGGCCCCCGGCGAAGGGGCGGGGGGGACGGCGGTTGTCAC